TATTATTTGTAATAAAAAACCAACCCTAACAAAGTATAATCAAACTGATACAGCCAGGCAATTCAAAGACAAAAATAATAAATCAAAAAAAAAAAAATTAACTGTTGACTTTTGATAAGGTAAATAGGGAGGACCTCTAATGAGAAGATGATAATTGGGCTGAAATCTGAGTCACAGGATGGGGCCAGGCAAGTGAGAATGTGAGAAAAGCATCCTGGCAGAGGGAGGAACAATTACAAAAGCCCAAGACAGAGGTGAGTTTGGCAGGTTCAATGATGGAATCAGTATCTCGATAGCATCTCTAGGAACTGTAATGTTTGAGTTTGAAAATAAGATTTTGGAAGGCACTGAGTAGAGTTTTTTTTGTTGTTGTTTTTTGTTTTTTTTTTTGATAGCTTTCAACTAAGGTGCAGGCCTTTGGAAAAAGTCAAAGTGAGAATCTTAGAATATGGGAAAATAGCAATGAAGTGTGCAGCATATTTCCCAGGACAGAATTTGGCTTGCCAGGCTATGGCTTAAGGTGTTTTAGATGTTCCAAAGATAAGTTGTTGTTGTTGTTGTTTTTTGTGGTGGTGTGTGTGGGGGGGTAAAGTTCTCTTCACAATGCCTAGGGATTTTGTTTGTTTTTGCTCACAAACATGATCAAGAACATATTAAATGTGAAAGGCAAGGGGAATAAGAAAAATGATCATGATTTAGGAAGAAGAATATTTGTGTAAGAGATTGTCTGTAATTGACAGAAGAAAAAAATGATAAATATGTTGAGAATAAGACTTCTCTGCAGGGATGTTGTATGTGTGTATGTGTGTGCACATATGTATGTGTATGCACGTGTGTTTGTGTATTTATATAAATGTACTTAGGGAGATAAACAGCTTCACAGCATCATAAAGCTGTTTTAAAAAACAGGAGCATAACAACAGTAGGCTATAGATTACTTTTATGAATACACCTGGTAGAAGTGAAGCTGAAATATTACTGTAGGTTAAAAAATTGTTGGAATATTTTAAGCAAAATTGCTGGAAAGTTGCTGGAAAATCTCTCTCTCTCTCTCTCTCTCTCTCTCTCTCTCTCTCTCTCTTTTTACCTGTGTGAAGATAAAAGAATGAATAACTACTGAAAGAAAAAAAGTAAGATTCTGTGGACCAAGACTCTTAAAAAAAAAAAGATGACTCAAGAGTAACAAAAAACTTTCAGACAGTAATTTGTGACTGTACAGCACCAATGATGCCAATTTGCAGATGTATTTTGCTAAACTGCTGCCAGTAATGTCTGAGGAATTACAGAAAATGAGAAAGATTGTAGTGTCAGCCAGGGTTCATGGCAGGAGACAGAAACATTTTAAGTAGACAGAGATTTAATACATTAAATTTGGTGCTTGTAAAATCATTGGAAGGCCTGGAGAGGTGAGCTCTAGTCTGGGCTTCCCAGAATGACTCCCAGACACTAGAAAGCTGAATCACCAGGGAAGCTTCCACCTCTGCGAGTGTCCCACAAATACCGAGCTTCCCACAAATACCGAGCTTCCAGAGCACATGACTGTAATTGAGATTCGGGAATCACAGAGCTGGAACTGTGCCCTCATTACTGCTGCTGTTGCTACTTTATCATGCTGGTGACTGGGCCCTGGAACCTGGAGTCCATTGCAGCCTGTACTTCAGGTCATTTCACCCAGGAATCTGGAGAATGACATGAGTCATTGCTTCAGAAGAAAATCTCACATCTCCATGAGACCTTGCATGCCAACCAAGAAGTGTTAGCAGATGACCACCCTCACTTTTGCCTTACAAATCTCTAATAGCTGCAGGATCTTATTGGAATCCAGAATAGTAGCTGTAAAAGCATCTGTGAATTATACATTTAACTCTGAAGTCTCTTCAATGCAGGGAGGCATGATACAAGGGGTTCAAATGGAGTTTCAGTGAGCCAAACCATAGCATTCCACACCACTGTAGACAGATAAGCATTCTTATTTCTTCAAAGGGAAGAAAGAGATCAAAAAAAAACTGAACTTGACATTGTTCCTAGTTTGGTTAGAAAAGATACTCTGTGAGCCATTAAGAAAGGATGCAGCAATCACTGGCAATAGGGAGTTCATTAAAAACAAATCATACTGGATAGTTTATTAAAGTGGTAAGTAATAAAGCTGTTTGGCTATAATTTATCTAGATTTTAACAAGGTTTTTGCCCCAAACTTTTATATCATGGGACAAATAAAATAGTGGTACAATTGAATAGATTTGTAATTAGTAGATTAAAAATTACTGATTGGTAGATAGATGTCCAATTATAACATATGCTGTAGGAACTTATACTTTATCTCGCCCTGCATTATGCAATGATTCCAGAAAGGACATTGATTTCAAAATTAGCAATAGTTATTATTTATTGAGTGCTCACTCTAGATGTGGCCGTTTAGATATATTACTACCTTGTTTATTCCTTATAACGATCTTTTCAGGTTGTTATAAATATAAGGAAACTGATGCCAGAAAGTGTAAGTGGCTTGCCTGTAGTTCCGTGGGCAATCTAAGCAGCAGTGCTGAGATTCATACCTAAAAGCATTTCAGGGAAGAGGTACCAGAGAGAGGGAAAAGCCGTAACGTTTTTAGGAGAAACTGGATAGTGGCGTACCTACCAAGAAAGCCAGGGGATGGCATTTTCTCAGGTATTCCTCATGAAACGCAGGGCTGGTCCATGGTCTTTCAGGGTCTGGTTAGTTACAGTGGCTTGAACTTAGCGCTGACATGCTTCACTAAAGACTACATATAAAGCCAGATGCCAATTTATTAAATTATGAGAAATATAACCGTCAAGCTGACCAAATATGGGCAGTATTCTTCATGCAGTATTCTGAAGGCAAGCCTGATGAGCAAAATGTTGACTGCATAGGATAGAATCAGCTCAAGGAGATGCTGATCAGAATGCTAACTGGCTGCAGTCTCTGACAATCACAATAAGAATGTAAACATCTGATGGCTGACTGGATCCCTGGACCTGCCTGGAAGGGCACTTTATTATTTGGCCAGAGAGTGCCAGAATTTGCCTCTGACTCCTTTATACACACCCTCATTACTGATTGCTATTCTTTCTTTAGATATTTTAATGATTTCAACTAAATTGTTTTAGATTAAAATGTAGTCTTTCCCTTTTAGGTGACTGTTCTGAACAAGATCCTGCTGACACAATTTTTTACTTTTAGAAAGCGAGTTTAATTTCTGTATTTCAAAATTTATTGCTGTTCTTGTGCACTAATTAAAAGATGAAGGTCCATCTGACTCTTTTTCTTATCTGTGCTGCCATTGGTAGATTAACAAGAACAAACAAGAACAGAAGCACCGGTGCTGACATACAGAGTTTAACAGTAGCACAAATTTTTAAAAAGACAGTATTTTTTATTTCATTTAGGCTCACTGTATATGATGTAGTTATGAAAGAAGCCAGGATAGACTTACCTGTATTAACTGTTGACAGAATGAATGGGCAAGTGAATGAATGAGAGAATTGGGAGCCCTACCCTAATCTTCACTGACACTCCATGTCTTGAGTAGCAATGTTTATTTAATGCAGGGTCCGCATTTTCAGAGGATATTGACAGACTGGAATACATTTAGAGGAAACTGACCAGATGGTGATGGGCCTTGAAATCACATTCTGACAAATGGTGGTAGGACACTGGCGATATTTAGCTTAAGAAAGAAAAGAAAAGGGAAAAATAAGAAAAGCTAAGAGTTATTGAGTGCTTATAAGTAGGCCAGGCATTGTGCTCAGTCTTTTAGCGGATTTCACTATCCTAATGAAAAGGGAATACTTTATTTTGAGTTACCCCGGAAGGCAGGGCTGACAGTCATCAACAGAAACCATAGAGAAGCAACTCTTCTTGTTAGAATGATGACATTTCTAACTCTCAAAGCTGTCCGAGAACAGAAGGTGTTGTTGTAATGTAAAAAAGATCCATGTTTTTGGAGATACTCAAGCAGAAACTGGTCAGACTTTTGATGGAGATAATTTTGGAGACGAATAAGTATTATATGGAGGCATAGAGCAGAAGAATACTAAGACTCTGTCCTACCTTATCCTGTGAGTGTATCATTATCTTACAATAAAGTAATCCCTTTTGTTTGTCTTTAGTTTAAGGCCATGAACCTAAATTACTAATGTCACTTCCAATTATATAGATCAATTGTAGGGGACACTAGTTGCTGTGTCATTCCTGGCAACCGATAATCCTTTCCAGCAACTCAAACAACCTGGTACAACACAGAGTTGCAGGGCTGGGAAAAAACATTTTGTTAGAGGGTCATTAGGTATAATAGTAAGAAGAGATTTGCTTCCTCATTTGTTCCCAGATCCATGTATTCCAAGTATGGGAGTAACAGTGCAAAGCCTGGTAAATTATCTTCCTCAAATAATTTGAAATCTTCAAATGGTAGTAGCATTCATTTCCATCTTTTTATTTAAAACGCAACTATTTATGTTTCTGCAATCCTCTCTGATTGCATTCTCTATTTGAGCTTTGTTATTGTTAATGTGTGAACCTTGAGTATCAGCCAACTTGAGCTTTCATGACAATTAAAATCAGACCTTAAAAACTGGTTTCTGTGAGTGGGGAAAGAAGGAATATCCACTTAAAATAACCAAAGAACTATGGAGTTTATAGCTAGAGAAATTCAAGCCCAGGGAGATGAAATGACTTGCCATCATTACATGGCTAGTGAGAAAGCTGAATACCTTTCTTTATTCTTTAGTCCCTCACTTGTTGATGCAATTATGTGCTGTATTCCTGCCAAGATACTCTTTTTCTTTTCTTTTTAAAAATTTCCTAGCAAGTAGAATATTTTTATACTGGTCACTTTTCTATCTTCCTTTATAGCTTGATTGAGAAGGCATCTGAGTAGGATTCCAAATTAGTATTTTTAAAACCATATCATTAGTTCTGTAGGCATGAATTCTAAGGGCTCCTTTGTTCCTGATTCTGGATTGCTCTTGTATCTCTGCAGTGCTGCGTATGATGCTGTCCTTGACAGAAATGTGGCCATTAAGAAGCTCAGCAGACCCTTTCAGAACCAAACGCATGCCAAGAGAGCTTACCGGGAACTAGTCCTCATGAAGTGTGTGAACCATAAAAACGTGAGTTGTTATTTTTAAAACTCTGGCAGTGAGAGGTTGGGGAAAGAAAATCAGTACGCCAACTTGAGTAGGAAAGGCTTTCTTTACTTTGCAATTTCTGTCTCTTAAGATTGTTTATCCTGCCCATATGCTACATTTAATTTCATTGTCCTTATGGTAGCTTTCGGCTTAAAAATCATCTAAAAACCATATGGCGTGGAGGGAATGAATGTGATAGATATTTCCCTGTTATGAAATTAACCATATTTGGTTATTTTGCTCCAAATTAACCAGAGAGCTTCATTTTTTTTTTTTTTAAAAAACCAAAACCAAAACCAAAAATATCCTAGAGAACAATATGCTGTATTTCTTTACAATTTAAATTTAATTACTAACAGGTGAAGATTTTGACTTCCTTTTTCTTTTAGCTATAGTCTGGCAGTGGTGTCCAACTGTTCGGTGTACACACTGTGCTTTGGCCTCTTGTTTTTTGTAGGGTTGGGCAACCATACAGGGATGAATCTGCAAAGCACTTCAGAACAAGACCAAGAATATTTCTCACTGGAACTCAGTAGGGTATATCATTACAGGACTTTCTTCACTTCAAAATATAAGCTTTAAGCAATAAGCCTATTGCTTTAACAATAGGCAAAGATCTCTAGAATTCTTTCTATGCTCCTGTTCTTCTTAGTAAAAATAAATGGAAGATAATTATTTTAAGAATCAGTATTATTAATTAATAAATTGTAATAAATATAGTACATATAATTTATTACATATAAGTATATAATAAAATACATTATAAATTATTATAATAAAACTATAAAATAGCTATCATCATTCCTCTTATGAAGTTATGAAATTATCAGTGTAGTTTTGTAAACAAGTGAATTTGTCAATCTATCAATGGCACTAAGAAGAAGGAAATATATCAGTGTTTAGTTGAAAGATATTTGAAATACAAATATGTGGATTCAGGCCCAATGACTGTTTCTCTTTTTCTGTATTACTCTGCTCCAATGACTTTTTAGTTCAGTCATTGACAAATATTTGTTCAATGAATAAATGGTGCCCGGTATAGATCTAGGTGATCTAGATGCTAGGAATACAGCACCAAAGATAACAGAGACAGGTTCCTGCCCATGTGGAGCTCATGTCCCACTGGTAAGAGAAAAGCAGGCTACAAAACTGACAGGTAAATGTATGGAATGTCACATAAGTGCTATTAAGTGAAACAAAATAAAGAAGGAAGATAAAAAATTTTGGTTCATGTAGAGTGGGGTAAGGCTACCCTTCTAAAGAGGTTGAACAGGGAAGGCCTCACTAAGAAAGAACAATTTTATAAAGTATGTCCTCATCTTTAATTTGACCATGCAAGGGACATGATACTTCTAGAAAGGAATATAGAAATGATGGAAAGGATCATTCCTAAGAAAAGTCATTCTGCTAAAGCAATTTGTCTTTTTAGTATGTTAAATAAAGGTAGGAGCAAGATTTACCACATGACCAATGTAATCTATTTTTGTGATAATAAAGAGGATGAGAAATATCCTGGGCAATGGAAGATGGATGGATATAGGCAATGAAACCAATGTATGGAAAGTTTTGATAGTTTGTGTTTTCATATATTTATATTTTCCCTAATCCTCCTTTCAGCACTTATAATACAATAAATACATTGTGAAGAAAGTCCCACTTACTTGGGAATTTGAGGGACTCATGCTTCCTGTTCTTAATAGGGGTTTCACATTTATGTGAAATGTGAAAATTCACATTTATGATATCTAAAGGGGAGCTCCAATTGAAATGATAATTTGTAAATGATGCCTTACCCGCTGCCCCCTTGTGTGTGTGTGTGTGTGTGTGTGTGTGTGTGTGTGTGTATGTGTTATAAGTTTATGGAAATATATTTCTGGAACTTGATAACAGAAGGGAAGTTCACTTACAACCAAATGTAAATCTCACTTTAGTACGTGTAATATTAAGTAAAAGCAGTTAGAATGCAGAACTCTGTTAATGCTGAGGCAAGTAAAATGAAACAGTGAAGTAATCCTAAATAAATCTTTAATAACAGAGAAGAAAATCCATTTAGAAAATGAATACTTAATTCTAGGAAGTGGTAGCTGGTGTGACCGTGACAACCATTGATTCACATCTGTGCATTTTAAGATGCTGGAATAAAGGCACTGAATCAGATGCCTGGAAACTGTTCAACTAAAAGGGAAATACCTGCGATGATCTGTTTCTAAAGACAAGATTTTAAATTGCTTATTGTAGAAATTAGAATTTATAAGGGAGAAAGATAAGAACAAAAGAAAAATCCTCAAAGGGAAATCAAAGAAGGTGGAGGTGATTAAAAAACAAAAAGGTCATAGGAATGGGAAAATAACGATGTATAGTGGGAAATTTACCTTTTAAAATAATGTATCTTGATTTATTTAGAATTGTAATGCTATTTTCTAGATTAATTTAGATTACCTAGATTGCTTATTCACCAGGTGATAAAGGTTAGCATTTTTCCATCTTTAAGGGTTGTGTTTGTTGTATATGTGTGTGTCCTGTGCACAGTTTTTGATGTTTTTATTTGAACAAACATTAAAAAATGAATTATTTTGCAAGACAGATAAAGTACTAGAAAAACAGACTCACTGTATATGTTTAGTGAGAAATGTACCACACAAACATTTTACAACACTGTAATTAAGCATACAGAATAACAAGTTACTTTAATCACAAGTTTCAGAGAATGTTTGAGACAATTTTATTTCTATATGCATATTCTGTATTGCAAGTTCACTTTAGAAAAGATAATCTTGGGTTTTTTGATATAACTATTGCCACATATATACACACATATATATACAAATCATAGTGTGTGTGTGTGTGTATATATATATAT